GCCACGTCCCGCTCACATCCTTCACTCTCAAAATCCAAAGGCCCACTGGCCATTCTCTCTGCCGGACGCGTTCTTCGTGCTGGGAAAGGCCTCGCCAATCTGTGGAAGATCGATCAACTCGAGACGCATGGCGCTGACGGAAAGACTCGCATTGGCAAAAGTTTTTGCACTGAAGATGCGATAAGAGACGACGACGCCATTCAAGATTCCGCAGGAAGCTCGCCTTCTTTTGTCGTTAGATTCGCCGATTCTGATCTCGCTTCAGCGACATGGAAGACACATCCCAGCCTCGGGGATGGCAATATGCTCTGTGGAACAAACCCCAGGAAATCCGGCGACTACTCTTGCATTTCGTTGGATCTTGCACACGGTGGGAAGACGGTGACGCGCTATTTGGGCAACATCTAAGGCATTCTCACTAGCGACGCCGACCCGACTGCATTCGTAATCAATTCCGATGACGGTTACGCGCGACTGTTCGACGTCCGCCTCCGCCTATCGGTTCTCTCCTTCGCGGCAGGTTTCGGCGAAACTTCCTGCGGCGCAGCTTTGTTTGTCCATCACGATGGCGTTCCGAGTGCGTTTTATACTTTTCTTCCACTTGATAAACCTTGATCGGTGTTTCAGTTATATTCACGGGTGCAGAGCAAGACGAAGTTATCAGGGCGACAAGAATTCGAATTCTTAAACGATTGCCACGGTATAGTACAACAAATTAGGTTTATATCATACACCGACGCTGTCGTCGAAATAATGTCCTGTTTAATATGTGGCATGCCATGCTTATAGTAATAAATGTCCCAGAACAACCACTCGCAGCCGTCATTGGGCTTTTCGGATCTGCAGGGGGACACATGCCCGACGGAGCTGTGCTTGGCAAAGCCGTACGCCGCTGATGCGGGCGTCTCGGGCGATTGCTGTGCGGCGGAGAGAGGCGCGGGCAGCGTCTCGATAAACTCGTCGAGCTCTTCCGATAGCTTCGACATGGGCGAAACGGGGAGCGTGTCGCGGCGCGGGGGGTCTGCGGCCGCAGCTGGGCCCGCTCCGAAGATGAACGGCGAGGGGAGCTCCATGATCGCCTCCATATGCATGCGCGATGCGTCAGGGACGGTGATAAGGTTCGCGCCAGAGAAGGGATGTAGGGAGCGCCTGGGACGGGGGAGGGTTACAAGAGGGCGTGTGGCGGCGGCGACGTCGCTGGTCGTGAGGCCGTACGGCTGTGCAGCAGAGTGCTGGGTGTGCGAAGGGAAGTGTCTGGCGGTTACGGCGTGGAGGGTTGCCGAGTGACTCGAGGCGGAGAACTGCGAGTACGCGGATTCGGAGGAGTCCATGCAGGCGGACTGAACCGCGGAGCCGTGCTGGTCCATGAACCCGGACTTCATGAGGGGTGGCGATTGGGGGATTGTGATGCGCGGAACTAACGGCCTGGAGCCACTCGACGAGTCTGGCGAAGTGAGGAGAGATGTAGAAGACAAATGTGAAGGGGGTGGAGGTTGATCTGAATGTGAGGACTGGTCCTGTTTTTCCATGAGACTGTCTTTCGCCTCGTCCGACCCTGAATCAAATAAAGTGCCGCTTCTTCGGCGGGCTGTCTCGTGGCTCCTTTGGTTCCGGCGACGCAAGAGAAAGATAACGAAAATCACCAGAGACAGTAGAAGAATACCGCCAAAGGTGATGCCAAATGTTATACCGGCACTTGGGCCGGCCCCAGAGGCCTGCTCTTGGTGTGGCAGTAGAATGGGCATCGATGAAGAAAAGTGAAGAACGTGGGGCAGAGTTTGTAAGGCTCGGCCTTTCGCCCTATTTTGTACGCACACTCAAATGGCGGGGAATTGAAACGGATCACATTGGCGGCGGTCCCGGACATGAAACACATTCAGTGTAACCCCCAAGTTCGGCTGGGCCTGATGTTTTGACCCTGGAACGGCGGTGCAAAGGACCGCATCGAATAGCTTCAAGTTATTATGGAGCCTTTTTTATCAAGTACATTCTCTTCTGCTGCACTGCGATCCAAGGGTCTTTTTGTAGGTCGAGAAACTCCAGGAGCAAGTCTTGAGTACATCGGGGACGGGGGACTGGATGCAGAGAGGAAATCCCAAGGAAGACGGTGATTGGTTGGGAGAAAGAAATCGCGGACACTGCCGCCACACCGCCATCGCAGGCCAAACATGGCCAAAGTTCGGACACCATTTTTATCAGCAGCAAATCAGCAGCCAGTTTTCCACCGATGGCCATGGCAACGGGGTTTCCACGCCCGGGCCCTTTGAAATCGTCTCCTTACCTCTACCACCGTGCCAATCGTTAATTCACCCTTGGCTTTACTGTACTTACACACGATCATCACTTTGCCGCATGGCCTGGAACAAAAGAATCGCTTTGACCTTCGCCCAAAGGGATCATCGCTTTGTCATTGGCCGGCGAGGCTCGCCAAAGCAAAGCGCCAAGGCCAAAGCAAAGCGGAGGGGTATCAAGAGAACAAAGTGTCTGGGTGGCGGTCAAGTATAAAAAGCCTGAGCCCAGAGCCGCCCTTGTTGAACATAGTCCGCGCCACTCACCAACTGAAACACAATTATAACAAGAGCAGAGATGCCTCCGGTACGTTGGGACTTGGCTCCGCATTCCACTGCCTGTGCGTTTTTCCGAGCTAACCGCCTTGATAGCGGAAGAAAGCAGCTAAGGCGAAGAACGCAGGCAAGAAGGCCTCTACTACCAAGAAACAGGAAACAGACGGCGAAGCGCGCGCGGTCCCCCGATAGCGATAGCGGGCCCGAAGTCGACCAGAATGCGGAGGAAAAGCGTCCCAAAAAGCACGCTAAGAACGCGGTAGGGTTATGTCCTTGTGCAGTTCAGCTTCTCCTTCTAGTGTTCATCATCAGTGCAGGACACTACCCCGAGCCCGAGCCCGAGGTACCTAGCCATGTCTTCAATCTCCATCCATGCAAAATCTCACTGGGCATTCGCAGGCACAAGCCGAGTCCGCCGCGTCCGGAAAGTTCGATCTGATGGAGCTGCCTTTCCTCGCCAGCGTCTACCTCCCCCCGGGCCCGAGCGCATCCGCGCCGCGGTTCGACGCCCTATACGACAAGATTCTCGAGTACCAGGCCAAGCCGGACTCTACCGCACGGTGTGTGATTCCGGCAGCACCATTCGCCAGCGAGGACAAAGGGGCCGACACAGACACCGCCGAGAAACAGAAGAGCGGGCGCCTCGAGAGCGCTGTGCTCGAGGACCCGATGGAGCAGGCGCCGTGGGACATTGCGCTCGTCGATCTGCAGGCCGTCCCCTCGCTCGTCTTCCCGCTCGCCGAGCGCAAACAATTTGCGACCCCGCCGCAGACCGATTGCGGGCCTGGCATCGAGGGCCGTACGGCGCTGGCGGAGTCGCATTGCGGTGCGCAGCGTGCTGACGGCGTGTTCCGAATGCAGCGCGCGTGGAGCGGAGAACGCGCAGACAAGACGGTGGAGCTGTGGGAGGGGTACTTGTCGTTCGATGTGGTGTACAGTGGGATGTATAGCAGGAAGGGGCATGGGAACGGGGAGAAGATTGGGTTTCCGTTTTGGGGGGTGCGGGCGAGGAAGGATTTGGATGGGAAGGAAATTGGGCTGGACGATGAGAGATAGTAGGAGTCGGAGACGCAGCATCTGTTATCGGGTGTGGTAGAGCGCCAAATGTATATTTTTAGAGCCACGAAATGCTAATGAATTCATGAGGTCAAACTCACAGCGAGACATATTCGGGACTGAAACACGACGCGTACTTATTCGCTGTGGGGTCCACGGTACGCTCTCGAGATCCTGCCCCTCCGAATAGTCGTCTGCCGGCAGACCGAGAGGGTCCACGAATGGGATGCGCTAAACGTGGTGGGAGGATTCGAGGAGGATCTCGAGACGCCAGCAGCAAGAGCGTGAAGAGATGATGAAGACTCTGAAGTCAGAACTTAGAAGAGGAAAGAGTGAAAAGGTGCGTCACGTGCCGGATCCCCAACGCGTCGTGAGCCAAGCACCAACAAACAGATGGTGAATAAGTATCATCATGAGTTCCTAGGATTGCTTAAGACTGCTTTGAATGTATTCTGAGAGGGCTAGCATGACGTCCCATCCTTATTTCAGCCATATTTTTCGGGGGGGCCTAAGTATGTCCCTATGTAATGAACTATTAGGTGCGACGGCGGTCGAAATACGTGCAAAGCACTGGCCTTTCACGAAGACTGTCACACCATGGACCTGCCAGAAGAATATTGGCGCTATTTTCTTCTTTCACGGGGCTTGATTCATCATTTAATACAAAGGAACACAAATCCAATTTCCATAGGGAATTAATTCCTTGAATACAACTAGGACGAAAGCGTATGCGCTGTTGCAAAAATATGCTGGGAGGCCAATAGCGAAGCTGCACTCCGGCATTTAAGCCCTCTGGGGCACATTCCCTATTGGATGCATCCTGACCCGGTCCTTGCGACACAACCATGGCAAGCAATAATCCAAATCCCGCCAGACCCAACATCTGACCAAGAGTAAGCTGAGAATAAAACGATAGACATAAAACACGTCCCACTAATAACGCAAGCCTCCACCAAACAAAATACTCATGATGTTGTAGGGGACAGCGGCATCATGAAGACTTTGCCAACGGGCATTGTACGCGTGGCGTGAGTATGGTGTGATAGTTCGTACTTGGACGGAAGAAAATGGATATGGGTACTGAGTGAGTGTTAGCATATTCGTAGCTATGGCGGCCTTGCAAAAAACATGGGGACATCGGGATTTCGGGATGTTTCTCCCATGCTGTAAGGATGTGTGAATAAAAGTCTGGATTAACATAGATATGACACGGTCCACCGTTTTTTGCGTATCTCCTGAACCTGACAAAATTGTTTTGACGTTGTTGCACTCAGGTCAATGGGAGGATTAAATTCCACATAGGTGAATGGCGTCGGTTCTAATGAAGGGGTTCTGTGTTGCGGTCTGTTTACATGGAAAAACGAAAAAAAAAAATGAAACCGACCCCGCCCGGAATCGAACCGGAGACCCAGTACCCGCCCACACGAGGATCTTGCACCGCCTACATGCGTCATGCGTGTAGGACCATTACACCATAGAGCCGGTATAACAGGACACCCGCCGAGTCCCTATGACGGGTCAGACGTTCGGCTTCGGCAACACCCGAGTGCACACTCTACCAACGCTGGTATCTTCAGCTATAGCGGCAACGCATAAATTCTGTGCTGGATCCACACATTATCCCACCATGTCCGCATTTGAGGTTTTAAACATGATTAACGACCCGACTGTTGCGTGTCACTCATTCTACTCTCGTACTGGTACTGGGAATATTTAACTGAGACATCTAATTACCGTCTAATATCGCCCATCGACGCGTCGAGTTCAGAGTGTATGCGCATCAACACAGAACGCGCCTGTCCAGGTAACCGTGTTTTGGACGAACGTGAGTGGTGTTGACGATGCGACGTCGGTGCGATTATGACCGTTTGCGCACTACCAGAGAACGGATCTGTTGCGTGTCACTCATTCTACTCTCGTAAAAAATTTAACTGAGACATCACCGTCTAATATCGCGTCGAATTCAGAATGTATGCACATTCACGTGACCGTGTTTGGACGAACATGTTGACCATGCGACGTCCTTGGCGCCGTCGGTGCGATTATGACCGTTCGCGCTACTAAACTCCCATCATTGGTCCTCTTTCACTCGCGCAATGGCTCTGTGACCTCCGAATTTCACTCAAACATCATAGGAAATGCACTGACACTGGCATCACAGCTGTCTGCAGATCTAGTCTCTCAGGAAGCGCAATCGACCCGACACATTTCCGGGCCACGTGCTGGGTCCATCATTTTGTAGACCATTGTGCGCTCAATTGGAATATTGGTGGCTTGCTTTCCATGTGCTCCGACAAGTAGAATAACAATAAATAATCAATTAACTAATACATTCTCAAACAATCACGGTCACGAGCTTTGAGATTTGCCACCGCCGAGACTTCCTCCCTCACCCTACCTACTCTGATGGAGTCCACCAACCCCGCAAAAAGCTGGTGCAGCAGCTGCAAGACGTCGAAACCGGCGACGAACGAGTTCTTTACCATTAAGTTGGGAAATTGTCAGAAAACCTGTCGTGTCTGCAATCAGAAGAAAGCCGACAGGAGGAAAAAAACAGCAGGGGCTTCTGGGGCATCCTACCACGCAGATGACGACGACGACAAGAACGAGGAGTCCGACCTCGGCCATTTCACCTTGGAGGAATATCTTACCATTATTGCTATGGACGAGACTGCGCGATCATTTTCTGCGCTGGTCAATGTGGAGGTCCTTCACCTGAAGGGACGAGATCTTGTCGACGCGATTGCTCTGGAGGTGTGGCAGTGTGTGGGGTACCGATACTTGTAAGTGACCTATCACTCGAGCTCTACCACCAAATTAATGGGACTCACAGATATAACAAACAACGTCCTTCGAAGAAAACAGGCGCCATACGCTTCTCGTACCACTGTGCCCAGAATGCAGACCGTCAACACAAACCCAAGAAACACGATGATGCAGAGAAACACCGTACCTCTCGTCAGATGGAGTGCTTTGATTGCGACGGCTGGCTTCATATTACAGTTAGCGACGAATTTACCGAGGCGTTAGTACATTTCAATCGCGAGTTTTGCCGCGTCCCAGGGAAATAGTCGCAATTTCAATATTTTTATTGTTTATTGTTGGAATTCACACCATATATGATATATAAGTACTTATCGAAAAGCCTGAACTGTTTCCGAGTCGCCGATGTCCTAATACTGAAGGCAATGGCAAGGACAATGGTCATTGGGAGCCATCGGCACTTATCGGCATGGCACGTGACCCGGAAATGTGTCGGGTCATTTGCATTTTCTTAGTCTCTCATAGACAGACGCTACGACAATATTAGCAGCCCAAAGCTTCGACTTCGCCTCGCCTGTCACAGATAGAGTAAGCTCAAGGCATGCGCACATAGGATGCTTGTAAGGAGAACGCCGTCGGATACTCTTATTCGGCATGTAAGTGATCCTGTTATCACCCCATGATCCATACGGTGGGCCACTTACGTGCTATCCGTGCCCCCAATCTATAAAGGCGGACGACTGAAGCTCAAAAGCCCGCAATAATGCCGTTCGACGCCTCCATTACGATCTGGGTGGCCCTGGGTGGTACGATAGTCTATTCCCTCTTTTCGCGCCATACTCGATCCCAGCCACCACTCCCTCCGGGGCCCAAGGGGTTGCCGCTTATTGGAAATGTTCTCGACATTCCCTCGAAGTATCCGTGGGAGAAGTATATGGCGTGGAGCAAAGAGTTTGGTGAGTGGGCTTAGTATGTCCCTTCGCGTTTGATGTCCCTGCCGAATCATACTCCTGCCAGACTCTGATATTCTGTACCTGAATCTCGCTGGAAGGCCTGTAATCGTGTTATCATCACTGGAGGCGACGGATGCTCTCCTGGAGAAGCGTTCGGCGATGTACTCCGACAGGTAAGTGCCATATCTTTTGCATAGGGAAATATGGGTGAAATTTTACAAGGCCCCGTCTTCCGATGGTGGTCGAGCTCATGGGATGGGATTTCAATATGGGTAATGTGTCTCATGATCCATTAATTACTCTCGCACTAAGACGTTTCCAGCAATGATGAAATACGGTACGTGCAGTAGCTCCACGATGTCTTAAACGCGGCGGGCTCAACTTGCACAGGGGACGATTGGTGAGTGGCGAACCCAATATGCAGGAAGTTCACTCAGTGCCACTTTAGGCGAGCACATCGACGGCTATTTAATCAAGCATTCACGGCCAAGGCGTCGTGGAAATACCACACCAGACAAGTCGACGCCACCCACGAGCTTCTGCAAAATCTCTCGCGCAATCCAGATGACTTCATGGAGCATTTACGCCAGTGCGCATTCCACCGATGCTGAAAGGACCGACACTAATTGTAACCTGCAGGTGGGCAAGCAAGCTCATCCTATCCATAGCCTATGGCATTGACGTCCGGCCATCGAACGATCCGTTTGTGGCCCTGGCGCGCCATGCGGTGCATCAGCTGGCTCAAGCAGGTGTCCCCGGGAAGTATCTGGTGGTGAGCATTCACTGGCCGCATGTGCTCGTTACTACATTCTTATGTTACGTTTTGAGGACTCCATCCCGCTTCTGAAATACGTACCCGCATGGATGCCCGGTGCGCAATTCAGGCGCAATGCCAAGCGATGGCGGAAGGAGGCCGCTGCGATGGCGGATTTGCCGCTGGCGGAGACCAAGCGGCAGATGGTGAGTGAGCTTTCCCATATATCCCCAATGTTGACGCGGTATCTTTCATCCCCACGCAAGGAGCTGGGCATTGCACCGCCGTCGTTCGCTGCGGAGTCTCTGACCGCACTGAAAGACTGCGGGGAGACGTATTACACGGAAAGCACGATTAGAGCTGCCGCAGGGACGATGTACATCGGTGGGGCGGACACTACCGTTTCTTCGCTCGGCACGTTCCTCCTGGCTATGATGGCGAATCCCGACGCACAGCGTAAGGCCCAAGCCGAAGTGGACGCGGTCACGGGCCGCCGGTACCTGCCTGACTTTGAGGATGAGTCCTCGATGCCGTATGTCGCCGGAGTTGTGAAGGAGGTCCTACGTTGGCAGAATGTGACGCCGAATGGTTTGAGCTGGCTTGTTGGGTAACGTGGTCGTCTGCTGATCTCCTCACAAACTTAGCTATCCCTCACTATGTGCTGGTCGACGATGAATACAAAGGATACAGGATCCCCGCGGGTTCGATTGTGATTGGTAATGCCTGGTCAGTCAAGTTCCTTTTTAACGGTGCGTTTATAAATTACATATTGACCGTATTTTGATCAGGGCTATTCTGCACGACGAAGTTCATCATTGCGTCCTCTTTTCTTCCTCGTTACTGACCAGAGTCTTCCAGAAAACTTACCCAGACCCCTACACGTTCAATCCCGATCGCTGGCTCTTGGATGGAAAGTTGAATCCCGCTGTCCCGAGCCCGGATTCCGCTTTCGGCTTCGGACGAAGGTGATCTTTAATGCTCGTCAACTCCAGATTCCAACTCACGCGTCCGTCACAGGTTATGCCCGGGACGACACATGGCAATCGCCTCGGTTTGGATCGCCGTCGTGTCTATGCTTGCGGCCTTTGACGTCTTCAAGGCAATCGACGAACATGGGCGGGAAATCGAGCCGTCGAATAAGTTTGATTCCGGGTTTATCAAGTGAGCGTCTCTCGGTGGAGTCTTGCATTTTACTAACTTGAAATTTGAAATCAGTCTGCCCCTGCCGTTCAAATGTTCCATCCGGCCAAGATCACAGACGACCATGGACCTGATTTTGGCAACCGCCTCTAAGGAAGCCTGGACGGAATGAGAGACGTTGGAGCATCCGGAATTGTCGAGTTTTGTGTATCTCAAGAGAATAGAGATAATGGAGATATAGAGGATTTTGTTCAGGCTCAATACCTGCTTGACTGACGTTTGAACAACACAATGTTCGAATTTGATAAATGTGATTCGTTTTGACCGCCTATCCGCGCTCCATTTTAACCCTCGAATACTTTGTCCTTGTCACTAGGGCCAACCAAGTTTCGAGTTGCGTCTGCCTCGAGCTCGGATCGCCTTTCCCACCCAATTAAACCGTCGAGTGGAGTTCTTGCTCCTCAGAGATGGTCTTGATGATCTGCTCAATGAGCCGTTTGCTCAAGACGGCTGCCAGCTTGCTATGTAGCGCTGACGAACCTGTTGAGGATGTTCGGGGCAGTGCAGAAATCACCACTACTACTGCCTTTCCTTCTTAAGATGCCAGCTCCAGCGTTAGCAATACGGACCATTATGAGGCCATGGCTGCGGCGGAAGCGATTCCGACCCTTCCACCTGCACTAGCAAGGAAGATACTCGAGACCGCGGGCTTCTTCCAGCAAAAAAACGTTCCCACCATTAATTAGTGTTGCGCAACATGTTCAAACCTAGTATGGCACCATCATCTCATGTCAGCCTGAATGAGTATTGAAAAATTGCACAGGATAGAACCTCTGTTGTCTTCTGTCTACGGAGGGTCCTGGGAGAGTCAT